TGATTTTCCGTTCAACTACGAGATCTCGCGGTTGCGTGAAAGACGCGCATCGAATGTCTGCAGCAAAAAGCGAGCGATTTTAAACTCGAATCACTTTATTTCGTAGCTCACGTCGAAAAGACGATTTTGACAGGGAAATATTGCGTTTTAATACCCTTAATTCATCGAAATTGACCATCATCAAATGTGTACAGCACATTATTAAGCATGGAAATGTCCCCAAAATACATTCGCGTTTGTCGAATCCCACGCGATGTTTGTCGCCACTACGATGCTATGACCTTTGTTTGTCCTGTGTTTACGTTCGATTTCACGCATAACGCGAGATCTCGCGAACGGAGAATGGTCTATTCGAAGCTTTCCTCATTATAATGTATAAATAATAATGAACAAACTTATACCTCATTTCGTGTCCAGGTCATTTTGGGCATCTTTCGGTTCTGTAAAGTAAGGACATATTATGGTTTAATAGTATGAGTGTGTATTACTCATTGGTCGCAGAACACCGTAGCAGCGTACACGACAATCTATGTGACAATACGCATTATGAACAAAGCAAATATTTTCTCCATGAAAAAAAAGGAACTGAATCAATTATTCACATGACATATTTACCATATGACACGTTCAAATAAATCGGTTGAATTTCTGATCACTGAATTTAATCAATTTGTATAAATTACTTTCCTAGATTCATTAAAACTGAATCATGAATTAGGTAAGGCATCTACGTGAAGTATGAAGATTTCCATGATTAGATTCAAGTTCAACTGAACAACGATACTTACCTCAACGACACTGAGAAAAAAAGACCTCAAGTTTAGAACTGTTTGGGCGTAGTGTAGAATTAAAGAATGTTCCGCGTTTGGAGTAATTCTGTAAGAAAACACAGGTACTCACTATAGACAATTATGAACAATAATATATAAAATGTACGATATATAAGACTAATAATGTACAAACCTAAGATATGTGATACCCTCCATCTGGTCGTAATAATAGTGAGAGTCGTCTGGAAGGAAGAACTCGTCTCCGCCGGTAGATATAATCATTTTCGGCATGGTCAATCGATCCTTATAGGCTGAACAAGTAAATTAAATTTACATATTCAAGTTTGTGAAGCTAATAGCAAATGGTTTCAGATTTATGCGTTCAATATGTAAATCGCGGGTTTCTGTGCCACGTGACATTATATCCGATGACGTCAGCAGATCGTTTATATGAAATATAACTCTGGTCAAGCGACTACAACTTTCTCAATAGCGGTAGAGTTGTAGAGTTATAGAATACCATTTTAAAGAATGTTATTCGCCTGGCCATTGAACAACAGTTGCTATGACGACGTACTCGTGCACAATTACTACGTGACCCTAAAACTAACAATCTAAGACATCACGTTCATTAAAAGTATACCGTACTTAGTGGGTCGACGATGTCTGCAATCCCCTGTGTGTTTGGATGATCTAAGTTTTTGGTGACGTCTTCTTCGTAGTAATCGCTGAACGCAAACGTCCATCCCCCATAAGCCCGGAAGTGATGATGCAGATTCTGAAGAAGAATGCATTGTGATACATTACATGGGTATTTAAATAATAAACAGAACAACGTGGAATGTTAATTTCTGTATGGGCTGCTGATAACAAGATCAAATCAGCTGACCGTCAAGGGCTGCGGAGTCACCTCACGACAACCGCGGATCTATTCAGCGTTCCATCCTTACGCACGTCCATTAACGCATAGCAACCATGCTAATATTATGGAACTACTGAAAAGTTACTGACCGTAGATGTGATTGGTTGAATGGACATTGCCTTGTTACTGAGAATTGCTCGCACGCAATATTTGAACTTGTCACTGAATATGACTTATGTTTGTGAAGTTTTCATTATTTGTTAATGAATGATATAACAGTAGCGCCGTAACCACATGATTAATAGTGACCTATATAGTGAAACATCGCTTGGATTATGGGATAATCTCTCAAATCGTTAGTTGGCGGTAAGCTCTCAATTAAAGGGCGGCAGTCGTCGCGCTGCGCATTTACGACGTTTGTGTTGATAAACACTGATTTTCCAACAATCGAATGCGCTCTTCTAAGCCAAATCACAAGTATGAGGTTTGACCTAGGCGATACCTTCCAATCACCTAAAAAACCTAATTAAAGCTAGGTAACATCTCAGTTTGTACTTGTTGATCTGCGCAACAGTCAAAGTCGCCATCTTTGTTTATATGAGACCCATATATTTCGCGCATGCGTGGCGCGACGACTACCGCCCTTTAAACTAGTAATATGTGTATGGTGTCTAAAACAACTGGGTTGATGTATGTGAAAAGATTGAAAACAGTTTTATTTTGAAACCTTGACCATATTCAGCTCATCCATGACGATGGGGGCGCACGCAATGACTCTCTTATCAACAGCGGCTGTAGTCCACGTGGTCCATCCACGCTGCAAATAGAAGTGTACACGTAGTAACATTATCTAATGACAATTTGAACAAATTCGTATAAACTGCAATATTTGCATACTTCACAAGTACAAATATCAATAGACAATTTACGTCATACCTTAGATGCTCCTGCTACCATAAATTTGTTGATATTTGTCTGAGGGCTCACTTTCTTAGCGAAGTCTGTTATAGTATCCATAGCACGAACTGCCGCCTGTGAACATTATGACCTGATTAATTTCCGTATAGAGCAGACAGAGTTGATGTAAATGTTGATGTAAATTTCTGTTTCTTGAGAACTGTGTCTCAGGCTTTTGGAATCACAAATTTTGAAATGTGAACAATAATCATGATTTTAAGAACCAAGAATGTATTCAGCATTAAAATAATTGTTTTCATTATGGTATTTTCAATCACTTTACCGGGAGGTATCTCTGGGAAGAGAAATATACAGCAGAACAGAAGTGATGGAGATGTGACGGTGACCTCACCTTTGTCATCGGATTACGTAACAGCCAGTCTGGTTGCGTGGGATATTGTATGAAATGTTTCCATGTATAAGCAATAATCCCGTCTTCTGTTCTACTTTTATTTTTTGGGTCACCCTGTAACAAGTCAGTTGTCAAATATGAATATCAGATGCGGTAGTAGATGAGGGCCCGTTCACTTCGAGATCTCACATATTGCGTGAAAGCGCGGACCGAGCGTCTGTCGCAAAAAATCAAACGATTTAATTTTGAATTTCTTTTTATAGCTCAATTTCGAAATGGCGATCACTGACAGAGGAATATTGCATTGAGATATCCTTACTTCATAGAAATTGATCATCAAATGTGTAAAGCACATTATTAAGCGTGAAAATACCTCTAGATATATTCGCGTTTGTCGAATCCAACGTCACTGCGGCGCTATAAACTTTGTTCGATTTCTCACATCACGCGGGACCTCGAAGTGAACGGAAAAGGGTGTATTGCACAAATTGTACTAAATGTAACAGCTATAAATGAATACGTCAATATCTGATAGCGCTAGATAACACCCATCACTAGTACAAATCAACGATTGACTTAGGAGGTCCGAAAATCATATTAAGAGTTTGTTAAGGGTTCCAGTACGTTGAAAATTTTATTCAAAATGTGCTTCTGGTATTAATTAAATGAATGTGAAATTTGAACGGGAATCATTAGACGAAGTTTTCTAAAGGTATTTTTGTCTCCAAATGTGCGTGAGAAACATAGTATCAGTCAAACCCATGCCTAGATATTACAATGGCCACTGTCCCACTGAATACCATGTCACAATATAAGTATACATCACGATATATGAATATCAACTTACGTAAAACCGTATGTGCTCATTTGGAACCTGTTTCAAAATGGCGCCGATACTGAAAGATAAAACATCAATTCCAGGTCAACCCTGTAAGTTTTATAAACTTAAAACTAAAATATATTTAAATTTTCAATAGGAACACATTCACATATTCATATTAAGCAGGACCACATTCATATTCATCAGCTAATCACTAATAGAATTTACAAATCGCCGGAAACGAATAACTACCTTCCGGTTCCCAAAGCAAAGAGTGACGTCATTAATACTTCCTCATCACCAAGCGGATCTGGAGGTCTGCAAAGAGCGAGAAGTTCAGCTTTTATTTTTTACATTTATGCTATAACTCTAAATAACAGATTTATTAAGATTTATGGCTAAGCACAATCTAAGTATTGCATTCAGTCGGCGCGTCTACCATGCGAACACGGGATATATGATTATGTCATTCGAATAATGTTACCCGTCAGTGTTACTGCCACCAGTGATGTACATAAACGAGGTGTCTGTAATAGTCAATTTATCAGGCACGGTGATTGCCATGTAATGCCACCAAATGGAACGATCGGAATCTTTCTCTGGAAAAGAATAAAACATAGTATTACAACTTGTCCTGTCAACATAATGTTATCGTTGCGGGTGACTTACACTTATTTGTTTTCTCATGTACATTGCGAGATATTTCTAATTGATTCTGCAAGAGACACATAAATGGTTTTTTTACAGAGTAGTGTGACGCACTCTGGCACATTGCTGTCAAAATCCCTAACAAATCCAGAAATGGCAAGTGACCAAAAACTGTCTGTGAATTATAAACACCACATTAAGAATAGTTACATAACTAAACGTGTATGCGTGTTTTACGTATCACGGTATAATATTTCACTACTGGCGGCTATATCTCCGATCCTAATATGTTTACAAATACATCTATCTATTTATCAGTCTCACCCTTATCAATAGATTTCTCACTAGAGTTGTCACATGATACGTATATGTAAACAACGATGGTATTCACAATGGCATTGATCTATATTTAAGTTTATTGTAGGTTATGATAAATCAGCTGATTGAAGTCAGTCTATCGCTCGCAATACACATCTTAGAGGTTGTGACTGCTTCGAGAGTTGAGCCATTATCATTCCCGCTTTTTATCACTTTTGTTATTTTTTTTAACATTTCAGGTAATATGCAAAATATGAAACAAATGGTGAAAAGCATAGTTCATAAGTAAACAATGTCATTATATATAGATATATTAGGTAGGCGACGACAAAACTAAATTTGTAATATAATATTAAATGCATTGTAAAGGTGGACTATCTTTACTCAATTGATTTCATTTATCTAGCTTTAGCAGTACCAGGAACGCCCCCAAAATGCATACAGTAGGTGTAGTACAGTAGACAGGTCACATGTGTTACATAGAACCACGGTTAATTGTTTTCTTTTTAACGTAGAAAATATACAAATTTCGTTTACCTGTCAACCACTTTTGTGACGTCATATTCAGTATGTACACCGTGTAACCATTTTCTACGTGTTTTGTCTGATCAGTTAATACTTGGTAAGCGTAATGCGAATCGGGCCGGTTCACGTAGTCATCCAGCGGAGTTCCGAGGCAACGCGGAACCATGGCTACGCAAGCAACCATGAGAAGCAGGGACGTTTGCATGGTAGAAGTTTGCGATGCCACAGTTTACAGGAACGTGGTAAATACAGTTCTCTTTCGTCTAGGTGATTTCGGTCCTAGTCAATCCGATCAACACTCGACTGAATGAACAAATAGGTTAATGTTCAACATCAGACTGCAACAGCGATTATCAAATCGATAGACCCACTCCTAACGCGAAAATCTCAGCTCAAAGTTTGCAAGAGTTTAGTTACACATGTATCAAAGTCCTCAATGTTGTCTGATGTGACGAACGCCCCGATATACACTGGATGGTGCCAGTATATGAACCCACTCAAATGAAGAAGTGTGCCGCGTCACTCTAAATTACCCAGTCCGAAGAATAAAAAACACTTCCTGTTGTGGATTTCTTGTATAGCAAAACAGAGAGTGTAAACAAGGTCTTGGTGTAATCGTGTACATTTCACGGAGTTGATTTTACCTGTAAATATTATTGAATATTAATGAACACTTACGTCGTTTGTGGATTTTTACGCATAACACATCCACGGTATTCACTGTATATACCTAACGTTAGGGGTTGCTTATTCTTCCGTGTTTCAAGGTCACGCGGGACTCGGTCATCCAGCGTGATTTACTTGATATGTTTAATGAAAGGGAAGTGAAGTCCCTTTTTTGTCCAGTGTGAATCGGCAGTGGCGAATATGAGCCTATCATTAAATGCTTATATCACCTGATATTGGTGATCACATGATTTATATAGAAACTTACATAGTATACAGAAAATGTATTCCTTATTATTTGAAGTACAGTTCCGTCGTTCCGTATTTGTTTTTAGAGATAGGTGGCGTATTGCAACGCACATTATATTTTCGCCAAAGAACAATTACAAACCAAAAATGAGCACCAATAAAATAACAACTCGTTTCATGTATAACGATTTTTACATTTTGCAGTGTTTATATTAATGCAAAAAATAAGTCAACCTGGAGAAGTTAGCGAGAAAGCGTAGGTTTATAGATAAAAAAAACAGCGTAATATTTGTTGGTGTGGCCACATTTCATATGTACCCCAGTGGGCATTTTTAACTTACAAATCACAGTTCGTTGAGTACATAGTAGCGCTTTTTATTGTGTGACCAGGTCTGTAAAACAACGAATTTCGTAGTTGTAAATTTCAAAATGTATTTGAGGGCGTGGGATGACATTCTGCAAAAATCCGGTGACTGTGTCACTTCTGCGAGACACATACATAAAGGATGACTTTATACAGACATCAAAGCTTTCCAAAGATGTATATTTTCCCCCTTGGTTTATTTAAATTGGTTCATGAATTATATAAGAATCATCCCCGACCCCGTTTACTGCGTTTAGCATAAAGTAATTTATTAGCAGTAAAAAACCAAGTTTCTTATTTATTTTGTAAAAGAAATATGTGCTTCATTAATTTCACCAAAAATAAAAAACGGTGACCGCATTGGATTTCTTTTGGAAATTTCACTGAGCAATATTGATTGTAGGGTCTGGTCTAAGGGCGTCAAGCAACGAAACAACTGAACACTGTGGCTGCATATGCACATGCTTTCTATAAACTTATATTTCTCTCGTATACGCAGGTTAACTCCTCCAACTTTCAATTTATTACACTGTAAGTAATAAACCCGCTTCTACAAAGACTATTGCCAGGTAATTTGTGGCATGGAGAGCTGCTGTCGGGTCGTTTTTCCATCTGTTTCGTGTGGAGACGTCTACACGCCACATACAGGATGGACTCCAACGAACGATTTGATGTATGTTTGACTCATATCAAGTATTATCTAGAAACTACTGGTAAAATCGACACCCGAAGTTCGGACGAAATATGTTACGAGTACATGAGTTTGCCCTTGAACTTGAAGCCATTCTATTGTGTGAGTTGACATTACGTAACAAGTGTATTCATTAATGAAATGACATTAGAATTTCAAATGAATTTGTCATTCAGAACTGTGTTAGGTATTTGTGAAGATGTGGAACAGCAGCCATTTATTGCACGTTTTCTACAGTGTGCCGGTGAAGACATCATCAAGGCCATTCAAAACATGAAAGGTGACCTTCTTGCTGAAATTAAACGAAGTGGTTATGAAATTCGACAGGAACACATTCAAGATATAATACAAAAAAAAATAATGTGCACGGTTAGATGACCGGGTGTCTAAATTGGAAACGTCTGTGAATATATTGAAGGATGAAGTTGGAGAAATTTCCGAAAATCGTAATATTCAAGATCTTGACTGTACAGTGATAAACATAAAGCTAGACGAAATAATCAATCGTATAGATATTTTAGATGCCGATGCTGATAGACATGAGTCATTCTCTCTAAGAGATAACGTAAAACTGTATGGGATCGCTGAAGCAGACGGCGAGTCGTTCGAAGACTGTAAGATCAAAGTATTAAATCTATTAAATGAACATATCACTGAAAAAGTATGGGTTAAACGGGATATTGTCCGTGCACATAGAGTGCCGAACACTCCGATTCAGGGCCGTACACGTCCAATTATTGTGAAATTTCACCATTCAGATGATAAGTTACCTGTACTTACTAACCGTTCAGTGCTAAAAGAGCTGGGAATTGGAATTGGGAATGATTTGACGAGGCACCAAAATGAAATACTGATCAAATTGAAGTCAGATGGGAAAAGGGGATATTTTAAAAGAGGTAAATTGTTTATTGCTCAGGATTATTATAAAACGCGGTCATCAAATCAGATCCAAAGAAAAGAAAACCAACGACCACCTACTCGCCCTCGAACACGTCTTCAACACAAACAACAAGCCTTGAACACTGGAGAAAATGTGCTGGTCGACAATATTGCCGAATAGGTCCCGGCCAAGGCCCGATGAGAATAAACTTTATTTTTTGGAATATCAGAGGATTAAAATAAAAACTTCATTTTCCTGAATTAATAAACTTTCTACTATCAAATGATGTTATTTATTTAACAGAACACTGGGCTGAATCTGTCGACCAGTTCTCTGATTTTTTTCATGGGTTTAAAGTGTACAGTCGTGTTAGACCGCGAAGGTCAGTATTTGGCCGATTTTCTGGAGGTGTCTTAACACTAATTAGCAATAATTTGATTCACCATGTAAAATGTATTAAAACTGACCTACATGATTGCTTATTTTTCCTTTTCCAGAAAGAATTATTTGGTTTTGATAAAGATGTCATCTATTGTAATGTTTATATACCTCCCCAAAATGCAACACTCTATGGTAATCTTGAATCACGAAATGGAATTGAATTACAGTAATTGAAAATTCTTTGATCACCATTTTATCTAAGTTTGATGACGCAAATTTGATTGTAAACGGTGATTTTAATGTCCGTACGGGAAATGAGCACGATCTTATCATAAATGATAATATAGATTATATTATAAATGAATTTTCTTATATTGAAGACACCTTCAACATTCCACGAGCAACAAAAGATAACATTTCTAACAATGTTGGTCGTACTTTGTTATCTCTGTGCTGCTCACACAATTTGCATATGTTGAATGGTAGAGTAGGCAGCGATGCAGGTGTTAGTGACTTTACATGTATCTCAAGTAACGGGGTAAGCCTTGTTGACTATGTTCTTGTGTCGACACCTTTATTTACTGATATCGCTGATTTCCTTATTTTCGTACAGAGTATGATCATCTCCCAATTGTAGTTAGTATACAAGGGTCTGTACATAAACAATTTGATATTAATGCAAATTGTATGCAAAAGGGTCAACTAACTAAGTATGTATGGCTGCCTACACGTTCTTATTCATTCATGAGCAAATTACATACCGAGGAAATACAAAATAGGTTAAACCCGATTTCTGAAAATATAAATCTCGATACAGATGTATCTGTTAATATAATTGAAGACTTGATTCGATCTGTAGCTGATAAATGTGGTATGAAAAAGTAAATTTCAAACACATGTACAGAACAACCACCATTTTCGTGATACCAATAACCCAACTCATTTACATGAATACCACTTATTGAGTAAAAGGTTTAAGTGTGTTTGTCGGGACAAAAAACGCCAACACATAGATCAAATCAAGTCAAATTTGATATGCGCAGATACAAATCTGTTTTGGTCGTCATTTAAACGACTAAATAACCCTTTCTCTGCCAAACCAAATATGCATATCACACCTGCTAAATGGTATAACTTTGCTCTTGCAGACGAGTTTTAAGATCTACTTAAATTAGTTGACGAATTTCAATCTAGCACTATGGAAATTGATTGGGATATCTTATAAATGGGCCTATCACAGCTGACGAAATTAGGCATAGCATTACTAGTATTAAAAATGGTAAATCTGCAGACCCCGACGAGCTGATTGGCGAATTCTTTATAAACTCTTTTCCTACCTTTGCCCCATTTTTAAATATCATTTTGACTATCATGTAGGCGTTCGGCAACCCAATGATCATGGCATATAGCTATCCCCGACCCAGTCGAACTTTTGCAGATGATGTTGCAATGTTTTCAGATACGGTGATCGGGTTGCAAAGATCTCTTAAAATATTAAGTAGTTACTGTGACAGGTGGAAAATGAAAGTGAATAAGGAAAAACAAAAGTTGTGTTGAATGAAAAATGGTTTTATAAAGGTGAAGAAAGCGAGGCAGTTTTCTAATATAAACATCCTGGGGTTGTATTATATTGTCGACTTCTATGGTCGACAGCAACAAAGGCTTTAGCACAACATACCAAAAAGGCCATGTTTGCCATTATGAATTCTGGGGGTTTCGACAGTATGATTGGCTCGAACGAATCAAGTTTCTTGCTTGTAGGTATTACTTTGATGTCTCACAAAAATCCTAAAACAGTTGTTTATTAGGTGAGTGTGGGAGGTATCCCATTTTTCTGTATACCGCGAAACGATGTGCAAAATATTGGTCAAAATTTATTTACATGCCCCATTATAGATATCCCCGTAAATGTTATGATATGCTTACAGTATAGAAGAGTCTAGAGTTAGAAATAAGCATACATGGATCACTGAATAAAGAATTTGTTGTTTATTTGGTAATATGCAACATTTTTGGTACAGTCAGGAAGTTAACAATACAAGCACGTTTATGGAAACATTTACTGTTAGATGTAAATGTTACTTGCAGCATAACTGGCTAATGTGACATATGTACGTTTGAGAAACTCGTGACATTTCGCGAATTTAAAACAGAGCTACAGCGGG